CGCTTTACACAATTGATGTGTGTATGGATTGGGATAACAGTTGTATGAGCCCCTAATAAAATGTTAAAAAAGAAAAAAAAAAATAAGCCACCTTCAAAAATTCACATTTTAGATTCAATCAGCCATATTTGAGGAATGCTAACAGCTTGGCTCCACTCCACATAAGTCATATTTTTATGTACATAACTAAGTACAATACACCCCGAAGGGAACGGCATGCTTACAGTGGAGAAAGAGAAGGATCTATCTTGTGTGCTGTAACACTCACTCTCTTTGTTCCCAGGCCCGGAAACAAACTCCAGAAAGCATTTCGATAGCCCAATGTCAAGCCTTGGGAGGAAAGCAGGTTAAAAAAAAAAAATCACCGCCTCCAAGCCAATTGTCTTAACAGGAACCTGTAATCATAGGCACCTTGGGAAAGAATAGCACCCAAACTCCATGTTTGGGGGGGGTGACATTTATCAATGAAAATACCCTCATAAACAAGGAAATGATTTACCTGCTCTTTAATTATCGTTAATTCAGAAACAATGTTCTTTACACTGCTGTCTCGGTCTTTTTTATCCTTGCCAAATGCTGGGTTATGTAGGTTGACTTCTTTCATTGCTAAGAGGTTTTGGCCACTACACTTTCTAACCTAGAGTAAGCAAGGAACAAAAGAGGAAAAGGTCATTTTTTTTTAAAAGAATGAGGAAATGATGGAAAGGGGTGGGGAAAGAGATGAATTATAAAGGCCACACGATTAATTAAGTTACTTTTTTTTTTTTAAATCACAGAACTTTCAAAATTCTAACTACGTGTACACCAAGCCCAACATAAAATCCACTGGTGCCCCCAGCCGGTGTGCAGTGGTCAGCAGGATTTTCCTGGGTGAATGAAAGCCAGGGTGTGAGTGGGGCGATCTGGCACAGGGTGACAAAGCCACTCTGGCCATCTTTTGTGCAAGGCCTTTGTCTCCAAAAAAGAAGTCTTTTGTCTCCAACAGGTCAATGTCAAATTCCTACAGGTGAAACCCATGGCTACACCAGTACACTATGTGGCACCCAAAAGTATCATCTCATTTCCGCATCTATTTATTTACTATTTTTTGTGACTCTATTAGTATATAAGTGAACTCAAAAGTCCAGTCAAGTAGGGGCATGGGCACGCAGCATCCAGTCAGCTGGTGCCAAAGGACACCATCAGTCACCTTGTAAACACAGCCAAATGCTCCACTTCCGAGATGATCCAGAATCGCATAGTTGCCTATATACTTTGAGGGAGCTTTATTCTGATTAATGCTTTCAATATTTTCAGCAATTTGCTTCAGTTCTTCCTCCTAATTAAAAAAAAAAAACAACAGAAGGGCCATGGGTGGCTACCAAAAAAAATCCCTCCTGACAAGGTAACCACTGAGAAAATACTTAAAACTGACAACGTACCACTAATGAGTTCAGCTTGGACACCAGCTCTTCATAAGCACTGATATCGCGAACATAATGTCCTATATCAATGAAGGTCTCAAACAGGTCCGTAGGGAAGAGCCTGCAGGAAACACACACCCCCGCACCCATATCCTTAATGTAGGAATGGGAAAGTGTTGGACATTACTCACCTTTTGGCTCAGAATCTTCCTCACTGACAGGTGCTTCACACAAAACACATGTCATTTCCTCGGGTGATCAATAAAGTGGAGAAACATTAACTCATCTAACAAACGTACACGTTGTGACTCTTCTTGAAAGGTAACAAGAAACGAATGGGAAGGCTTGTTCATCATTCCCCAGGCACGGGGACCAAGAGCTTCTTTAGATATTTAAGTCCGCTAAAATGAATAGCTCCCGACCTTGAAATGGCAGGTTGTAATGAGCAGCTAATACACTCTCTCTCCCTCACGCTTAATTCAAGTATAAAGCCCAACATGGTTTGGGAACAAAAGATGCTATAACAACTTAAGGCTTTATTTCTATTCTGCTTTCACAGTAAAACACTAGCCAGAACTTGGGTCTGTGCTTTCAGCGAGCCCGACCATTAACCAGGGTGAGGAGGACACACGTCGGTCACTGGTGTGGGCGCATTTCCCATCATATTCACCAGCACAGCCTGACTTATGGGCCTCGGGCCTCCTTCCCCTCTTCTCCTCCGCTGCGTCCCACTCCACCCCCCACCAAGGACAGCCAAGACAAACGTGAGTGTTTTCCATTGATGAAGGGGAATGATGAGATCAACACTTGGGCACATCGGAAACAAACATGAATTTAGAGGCCCTCCGTTTCAAATGTTCCTTCTTGAAAAGCAGACGCTGATGTTCGAAGCTGTCGAGAGAGGTGGTCTTGGCACAGTGACTCATGTGTTTCCACCCTCGTCTTGTGGTTCCTTTTCTCCAGCCCGGCTCGGGACCATCTGTGGACTCAGGGACTCAGGGAAACCTGAAGGCACCTGGACTGCAACCTGCTTCCCCTCCTGTGCTGTTTGCGTCGACATCAGGCCAGTGGGCACAATGGAACCTAAGGGTCTCGGGCCACACTTAACATTTCTCCAAATCAGTCCAGGTACCTTTTAAAGAGTGGTCTGTTTCTTTCCATACTGAAGAGAAACCTCAAGGCCCGGAACGCGTAACACTGGAAAATACAAGGATACATGATTCTCAGATGGCAGTTCGACGAAGTCAAGCATTTTCAAGATCGAATGGCCTTTGAAGCAAGCATTAAACAGCCCTACTGTGAGTGACCGGACTATGCTAGTTCTAATGATTATAGCAGAAGGAAATACACACACACACACACACACACACACACACACCCCACACCCCACACACCCCAGGATCGCTCTTGAAATGAAAGTGTTTGCACTGTGCAACGTTAGGGATTTGGGTCTTGCTTTACTCACTACTTGTCATTCATTCCTTTCTAGAGAGTACAAAATGAGCAGCACAGAGGCAAGAAATGCGATTCCTAAATGGAGAAAAAAACAAACAAACGTCCCAAGATCTCAGGAGCTCACAGCTTATTTTGTCTCTGGCCTGCTGTGTGTGCCTCAACATTGATAAGGTTTTTCTGTGAGAAAATAAACAGGAGAAATGATGACATATAAAAATAGTCACAGGCACACTGGACCCAACCAGGACAAATTGGTCTCTTGAGTAAAGAGTCTTAGGCACTCCCCAAATAGAACCGTCTACAGCAACTCCCTAGAACACTCAGAAAGAGGCCTGTCATACTTTAGAAAAAATAAACATCTGACATTTTACAATGCCAAGGAAAAAAAATGAGAGCCTGCAGCTGTCCGTGTGCTAGAGTTCACCGCCAGGGCATCAAAGCCTGCTGCATGCAAATCTGAAACCATTTCATCAGTTTAGTGGTAGAACGCAAAAAAAAAAATTCACTGCCATCAAGTTGATTCCTACCCATAAGACCCGTAAGGCAGGGAGGAACTGCCCCTGTGGCTTTCCAAGGTTATAACTCTTTCACAGAAGTAGAAAGCTTAGTCTTTCTCCCATGGAGCAGATGGTGGCTTCGATCTGCTGACCTTGCAGTCAGTAGACCAATGTGTAACCACTATGCCACAAGATCAGAATGTACAAGGTTTATTTACAAAACTTCCCAGACTGGCCAAGCAGGTGACAAAATCATGGTGAGGCTATGAGAAAGTAAAGAGCACATATTCACCTTGAAAGCCATTCCCATGTGAATGCTTTATGAAACACTCTGCTGGCCTACAGAAAATTCCTCATCAAAAAGGGGTAAATGCAAAAGCAGAATTTCAAACCCTTCTTGACTCCAGACTTTCTGGACCCTGCAAGGCTTGATGAACCCTTTAAAATCGCTTTCCTGAGATAAGCTTTCAATCTTAAACCAAAAAATCCCCTCAAGTCTTCTTAAAGCCAAACAATAAACTAAGCCCACTGTCATCAAGTTGATTCTGAGTCTGCAAACCACAGAGTGAGTCAGTGGTTCAAACCCACCAGCCACTCCATGAGAGAAAGATGAGGCTATATTCCTCTTGGAAACCCCAGGGAGTCAGTCTACTCTGTGCTATAACGCCACAGTGATGAAACCAGCTTCCTGATAAAGAATGCCTGCCTTGAGCTCTGTGCTCTTTGAAGACCTAGATGCATGCGATCAAACGGACAGCAGCTACTTGAAAGGCTAGATAAGAACTTCAGGGGTCTGTGAGCTTATGTTAATGGGGGTAGAACAACTCAGAGAAAGAGAATTCAAAGAATGCAATCAATGTCCCTGTACCTTTAGGAATTGTTGCATTAATATACATTGTGCTATGTAAACTCCCAACAGCAGGAAAATAAATGGTTTTTCTTTTATTAAAAACCACTCTATAAGCTTAATGAAAAGCATCTGAAGGCTGGATTTGACTTGATCCATTTCCAACTCAGGGTCGGGTATCTGGGACACACCAAAAAAAACAAGGACCACACCGGCACCTCCTCACTGGTAAGCTCCCCCAAATCCGCTGCCTGCCAGCACAGAGACACCCCGCCAAATCTCTGCTACGTTTGACCCGCAGTCGAGATGATGGCTCTAAAGTCATATTAGAGGCAAAGGTGGACAGCTGTTCTCTTTTCAGATGGACCCAAAAACAGATGAGCTGAACCTGCTGCAGAGACTTCATTTGAATTGATGTTTGCCACCCCAGTGCCCTTGGGGGTACTGATTCCCCAATGCCCTACTGATTCCCACCACAGGGCCCTCAATCCCAGGCTGCTTCTTACCCTGGACTACGCATCTTCTCAGACTCTCTTTTCCCCAACCCCTCTGAGCAGCCCAGAGGCCCCTAAACACACTCTAAGCTCTCCAGGGGCCTCCACCCTTTGCAGAGGCGGCTCCCTCCTCAGGGAAAGCCCCTCTGTGCTTCTGTAGCAGCGACCAACAGTGTTTCCTCCAGGGCCTCCTCCACTCGGCAAGTTCCAAGCCCCTCCTCGTACATTTTACAGGCTTTGCTTGCTAAGAGCGAAACAGGAGTGCCGGGGGTATATGCAAGGAGATGGCATAGGATTTTCCTTTTCTGTTTATTTTCTGACACTAAAGTGGCACAAGTGATAGGAGGGTGCTTCCAAAAGTTCATAGGAAAATTGCATTAACAGATAAAGACATTTTTCCATGCGTGTTTTAAAGCCCACCCCCCTCCACTAACCTACTGATAAGCAAAAAAATATCCATAACACCACCTCATTCTTTCATGCTGAGATAACATTGCTAAATATTTTACATTCTTTCAATAAGTGTTGGCTGCTAACTGCAAAGACCCCAGCTCCAAGCCACCAGTCCCTCAGAAAGGAGAAAGAGGAGGCTATCTGTTCCCAGAAAGATGTACAACTCGGAAGTCCCAAGTACCGTAGCTATGAGAGGCTGTGGATTTGGAAGTTTTGCTTCTTTGTTTCTATATCAGCCTTTACAGGAGATACTTTTTCTCACAGTCAGCACGGGCCAACTGAAATTTGAAATATCACAGATACCTTATCAAAGTTCCCCCAGATTTCAACAACTTGAATCGAAGAAGAGAAAACCTATTTATTACCTGTAATAGATTTGTTTTTGCTGCATTCTTTTGTTTGTTGGGTAAAATCAATTTTGCTATTGTGTAGACACCATTTTCCTAGAAGAAGAAAAGGGATGATCTTATCAGTGACCAGTGAGAACATGAACATGAAGAAACAACCAAACAATCTCACAAATTAATATTAAGTAAGCACTGTTAGGATGGTTTTAGAAACTGAAGCAAACAGCACAGAGAAATAACAAAACAGCCATGTGATCCTCTTAAGCACCTACGGCTATAACCACAAACTTAGCATTTTGATTTCCTTAAAAACAAAAATCAAGATTATAAATTGAAAAAATTTTAAATGGCTGAAGTATTTTAAAAGAATGGAATATAAAAACATGCAGAATGAAGAGATTGTAATATTTTAAAACTTTACACTGTAACTATAGGATATCATTTCTCCGTGTATAGTTTCTGTAATTAAAGAAAAATGTGTAAGTCAATCAGTGTTTAAAAAAAGAAAAATTGGAAACCCACAAATATGTAGGGGGGAAAAGAAAATCAACAAGTTATTAGGGAAAATAGAGTTTAACATAGTTCTAGAGCAGACCACTCTTTCCCGAAGTGGGTGATACTGCACCCTAGGGGTCACTGGGGAAAATGCAGGGGACTGCAAAAGCAGATAGCAACACTTTCCATTCATAGTACAAGTTTCTAATTGCCAGGAGGCCACTGATTTTTTTTTTTTTTCTGAAAAGGAGACAGTGGGACAAATAAGTCTGGGGTCCTATGTTCTAGAGACAGATATAAATAAATATAATATCAACTTATTGCTACTTTTCCATGATTAAGTAAGTAATTTGCTGTGGAATGCTAATCACAAGGTCAGCAGTTCAAAACCACCAGCCACTGTGCAGGAGAAAGCTGAGGCGCTCCACCCCTGTAAAGAGTTACAGTCTTGGAAACCCACAGGGGCAGTTCTGACCTGTCCTATAAAATTGCTACGAGTGGGAATCAACTCCACGACAGTGAGCTTGATTTGGGGGGGTTTGAAATAATGTGCTGCTCTCGATTAGCATGGTCATTTATAACTGTGAAGAGGTGTCCCTAAAGAAACAATATCATTATCAATTAACTACATGTTGATTCTTTTTAAGCAAGTGTGTTAAAGGGAGACAGAGAAGAACAGAAAACAGAACTCTACAAAATTAAATCAGACAAGTGAAAACATGTGAAAAGCATGTGACGTGATCCCCAAACACATGTTCAGACTGCATAGAACCAAGAAACCAAACTCACAGCCAACAAGTCCGTGCCCACTCTGAGAGACCCTACAGGACAGGGTAGAACTGCCCCCGCGGGGTTCCAAGACTACAACCTTTACGAGAGTAGAAAGCCCAGCTGGTAGCTTCGAACTTCCGACTTTGCTGTTAGCAGACCATCTTATAACCACCACCCACCTGGACTACAGGCTAGAGCCTACACAGGAGGTGGGGTGCATGGTGCCATGGTTCCAGAGGAACATGCTCACCTGAACCACCTGGTGGGCATTGGTGTCGTTGAGCACCAGTTCCGTGAGGGCAGCACAGCAGGCTGGAATGACAAAGAGCAGGTGTACAGGGCGGGTCTTCACTGCAAGTGCGCTTTTACCCCGAAAGTAAGACATCCCCCGAAAATAAGACCTACTTACAGTTTTGCCTCTCGCTGAAATATAAGGCATC